TGCAATTATTTCGTATGCCTTTCATTCTGTTCGAACAGCGCGCTTCAAGTGTTGAGTTGTGACAGTTTTTAGCCAGCACTCGTCCTGTGTATGCTGATTTCGTGCGCGCTTTCTGCTTGAGGTGCGCGCTGCAAGTTTCGTGCTGCTGCTCCTTGCCGTTCTTTGCGTGACTTTGCAATTTATCGCTGTAGCATTCATTCGTTTGGCCTTAAGGCGAAACAAACACATTAAACCCTCAACTACCTCTGTGAAGACACATTTCAGTTTCATTTTATATCGATTCCAAAAAAAGGGATCAGCTACATATTTATATCTCAAACTAAGCTGCACAGTATAGCCAGGCTGCATGTATTGAAGAGTTCATTAAACCACGAATTAGACCCACCTTGGATAACTTGAGCTATGTGCTGTCATAGCTCTTGCCCAGCAAACCGGTGGACACTTTTCCTGCTGAGCAATAGGCGATGAGACTTTCTAGCCATCATCAGCATCCTTTAATTGATGTCATCAATTGAGATTTCAGATGTAGCACCCTCGCATCTAGAAGCCTGTCCTGCTGTGCTCTGCTATGAATAAAATGGCGTGACTTATAAGGTATATGTGGGAGTGTCGGTCGTGGCTTGCGGCACGTATAAACTCGAGCTTGCCCAGAAGCTCAATGCACCAACACCAATAGCGCTAAACCACAACTATCACTTTTGCCACAGGGTAAGTCGAATTGCAGTCTTATTCATTGTAGGCAAGTGATAAGTCCAAAAAGGCACATCAAATGAACTCTTGTGAAACAGACCGCCACAAGCGGTGGCAGCACGATATGGATTTTCGCATGCTTTCCAAATGATCCGTTATGTTCTTAAGCACAGTATTGCATAGTCAGTGACTTGTAGGTAGAAAGTGAAGCACTCTGCTTGTGAAACACTAATGCAACTGCCTTACAACGAGCCAAAATAAATAGTGCCAGGTATCCAACGCAAGTGGCTCATGTAAACAAGTAAAAATGAAGGGAAGAACTCCGGCTGCCATACTTGAAAGCCTTTTTATAATATGCACCTGTCACCTAAAATACAGGTGCACTTTCTAGTTGCACCAAACAAGAAAATTGAGAATTTACTGCATATACTCATGTAAAAGCAGCAATCGTACAAAAGCCACGCCTAGAACTTTGCAACACTCACTCCCTCAAAACATATACTTGATATGCAACCGCGTATGGGTGGCACTTATAAGATTTTTTTTTTCATAAAATTGGCAGTGTTCCTTGTTAATGTGAAAGATTTATTCGAAGGCTCCCTTTTCGCAATTTGGTACGTTCACCTTGAGCTGTTAAGTGCAACCTTTATTGCCTGGTCACTCTTGCAACCCTGTAGCAAATAAGTTTTGCTCAATTCAGTAATATCACAGATAAAGTTACCAAGCGCCAGTAGGATGACTTGTGAAGTCAAAGTTGGACCGGTTTACAATGAAGCTGAGAAAAACAACAGCTTTGTTAGGAGCTGTGCAAAATGGCTGACATAGAAGCGAGAAGGCAGTGCAGTTGTTTCAGTGGTGAGCAACATGACCATCATAATGACAGGTGATGCAGACTGGCCAATCACCTATTTGTTTATTTATCCAGGTCACCTCACAGGCTCCTACATCAGAGTATTGTGGGGGGGGGGGGGGGGGCTTAAAACAAGTAGGGGTAATAATAACAGGATCGTGATAACTTCACCATACAAATACAATGCTTATTGAATGTTAGTATGAAACACTGTAAAGAAAAAAAAAGAATTGTTTGTCATTCGGGTGGGTTTTATGCATACAGGCTACCACTGACCAGGTGTAGGGCAAGCGGTGTTAAGTGGCCTTAAACTCTGAAATTCACAACATTTTCATGGAGTACAGCCTAAACTAATGGCACCATAGTAAGGTTTTTGGGTTCACAAGGCTGTGAATAGCAACTTATAGAGATATATGTCTTCCAGTTCTCACAGCACAGCAGTGTAAAATCTTCATATTCAAAAATGCCTTACAGGCCCATCAAAGAACATTGAGTAAGAGGGGCGTTGGTATATATATTGCATAAATAATACAAACAGAAAGTAAAAAAAGAATAAGAAAATGAACAAACAAAATAACAAAACAACTGATCAACAGAAAGGTGCAAGGAAATTATACAATAGTGGAATGCAACAAATTCAGGTTATTATGAAAAGTTTCACTATTGGAGATGGATACAATGTGATCTGGAAGCCCGTTCTAATGTGCTGTGGCATGAGGTAATGGTGATGAGTCAAATGCCTGCGTGTGACCATGAATATGCACGAAACTACATGTGTTGTGAATGTGCTGAGATGTGCACAAAGGAACATGAAGTGGCAAACAGTGGGATTCACTACTGATGATGTACCCATGGAATAAACATAAAACGTCGATGTCACAGCTTTGATCCTGTGACATAAACGCAAGGTCTTGTTTTATTAGGGTGATGCTTGAATGACAGTCGTAGTTGGCAGTTATGAATCTCGCTGCCTTATTCTGGACGGCTTCCAACATACGGACAAGGTAATCTTGATGTGGTGACAATGTGGATGATGCATACTCTGGCTGAGGGCGAACGTAAATATGATATGACAATGTGCATACGTTAGAAGGTCTGTGGCACAAGTTTCTGTGCAACACTCCTACTGATGTCAACAGTAGCTGCATTCTTGCTAGTTGTAATATGAGGATGTTGCAAGTGTGTTCTGAATACATGTGAACAGCAGTATGATGCAACAGTCTTTAGCCTGCTCAAGTTGCCCAAAGCAGACACACGATATATAAATGAACAAAAGCGGAGTCTGCATGTAGCAAGGAAAACTAGAGACGCACATCTTGGCTGCTCAATGAATGCGATTCGCCTGCACAAACAGAAATGCTCCCCCCTGACAAATTTTAGGAGGCCTAGAAGGAACACCTCGGCTACATCGAAGGCATCAGCGCATCGTGAAATTGCTAACCCAACGGCACTGAGACTCAAGTGCTCACTGCAAGTAGACGGAATAAGACCAACCGATTCTGACTACAGGTACGTCTCCCCACTAGATTGACTACCTCCTCTATGTGCTTTGACATAAACTCAGTAGTCAACCAGTGACTGGCCATCAGAAACACGAGAGAATGCATACAAACAGTAGACAATTCATGGCCAAAAGCTACTGAATGCTGCCCTTGTGAAAAGTCCAAGCCAAAGTAAGGAAACCAACATTCGGCAGGTGTTTCGACTTGTCATTAACAGAGCAGGGACGCGTACCACTGCGCACACTGCCCAAGCACTTGACGACTTTCGCACAACCTTTTGACATGATTAGATGAAACATCACGAAGATACCGTGCTGTCTCCTGTGGCGTTTTTGCAGGTAATGGGGTACCTGCCAATGGTGGCTGAGTGGACCTTCCGTCCAAAAGGCGCTGACAGGGAAGCACCTCTGTGCAGCCCGACAGCTGATAATGGTGACAACTGTTTGCTTAGATCGTGAAGAGCTGGATGGGCACCTGGATGGACCATGAGGGAGCCATCACTGAGTTGCAGAATGAATTCAGACGTAATCATCACTGGAGGACAACTTTTTCATGCAGCCCACTGCAGTGGCATAGCGGTTATGGTGCTCGGATGCTGACCCGAAGGTTTCGGGATCGATCCCTGCCGCAGTGATCTCTTTTTGATAGAGGCTAAAGGCCTGTGCACTGTGCAATGTCAGAGTACATTAATTAAAGAACACCACATCGTCGAAATTTCCAAAGCCTCCAATGTGGTGTCCCTCATAATCATATCTTGGTTCTGGGATGTAAAACAAGCCACAAATATTAATTTCCCACACAGCTGGTTTTTGATTGATTGATATGTGGGGTTTAACATCCCCAAACCACCAAATGATTACGAGAGACACTATAGTGGAGGGCTCCGGAAATTTCGACCACCTTGGGGTTCTTTAACCTGCACCCAAATCTGAGCACACTGGCCTACAACACTTCCACATCCATCGGAAATGCAGCTGCCGCAGCCGGGATCTCACACAGCTGGTCAATATAGCCGAAGGGTAGCATGGTCTTTTCTCATGTTTCTCAGATGTTTACAAGTCCTACAAGAGCATACCATGGAGCGTTTTACCAAAGGTAAACATTTGCCTTCCAAATGTGGGAAACTAGTTTCGAAGCCCACCTACACACAATTTTCATTTTGAATTCGTTCTGTTTCACAAGTTTATTTTTCTCATGCGCTCTGCATTCACACTGTTTCATCTGTCCCAGTGCGAATCACTTGCTCAGTTACTATGCCACCAGGATGACGTAAAACTCATAAATAGTTGTTCAAACCTTGAGCTCTAAAGCACAGAGTGGTCAGGTGAAGAGGACATGAGCCACTGATTTCTTGAATTTGAGGCACCATTTTTTTAGCTGCAGATAAAAACTTCCAAAATCAGGGGCACATCGAAAACGCCCCAAGAGATTGAGATCAACATCATCTAGAACAGAAATGAGCCCAAGAACCAAGCATGCTCAGAGGAGGGAAAGAAATATAACACTTGAAAACATTTGGAAGCGACAAGTCTGTTATACGAATGAGAACTTCTATGCATCCGCATGTCTGCCACATGATAAGACAATTGCCGCTGTAAACAAATGAAAATAAGTTTTCGTTCCAGTGCTTGGGTTTGCACTGGAGCCCTCACACTCCGAAGGTGAGTGTTTTAACCCCTATGCTATGCAGTTATGTTTTGCAAAATCTGAACATATGCGGCATACATGAATGTGTTTTACCTGAGGTGTCGAAGCGTAGCAAGATGGCTCTGTCAGTGAAGGCATTGGTGAACTTCGTAGAAGTAGAAAAATAATCATCAGCAGAACAGGATGTAAAGACGACAGGGAGAAGGGTACAAATCACCAAAATTCAAACCTTCCAAAATGACGATGCCACAGATATTTCAGTGGTCACGCGATGCACGTGCCATGCTCGAAGATGAAACACTGACAAGTGCTAGAAAGACACCATGCAAACTTTGCTCAAAGAGGGCAATCCAAGCATAGGTGTTCATTATTTATTTGATTTTGTTACACAAAAAACGCAGAGGGTACAGGGAGGGACACGGAGATGGCTAATAATGCACAACACTTGCGCATTGCTTAGATAACTCCCAACAAAGATTCCACATGGGTTTTTTTTTCTCTCTTAGTGCAAGCAAGTACTATAGTTTAATAAGAGCAAGTTTAACAATAATTACTTCTGAAACAAAAGGCAAAATATCTTTTACTGCGTGTAATGATCACCGTCCCAAGCTTCACCCCACACGTCTCGAAGAGAACCTGCAGCAATACAATACTTCACAAGTGCCCCACCAGACTACTCAAGCAGTGATTGCAATCCCTTTCCAAGAAACGTGAACAAAAAGAAAAATAATGCCAATCATGATCATTTTATTTTAATGAAAGGTAATGAACAGCTCAAAATGTGACTCCTCTCCTTTAATGATCATGCATAGTTTCTTTCTTCATTACTTCTGCTAATCACAATTCCATTATTTCAAACTGGACAGGTACCCAAGTGACAGTTTGAAGTAAGAAGGTGTCAATGCAATGCACTCTCTATAATATTTGTCCAGCAAGGTCATAATGGCTTTGGTGCACTTGAAATCCGATTGACCACATTCAGAAGAAGCAGCATACCTGCCAAGTTCAAGGATTCTGAATCCAGGAGATTTCCGCAAGGAAGGGTTTCACACTGAATTATTTGTCCCAATTTTTTTGCACCAAAAGCAAAAAAAAAACATTGCGAGAAACAAAACAAAATCTGGGGGTGGGAAGGGTCCCAAATGCACGCACAAAAAGCGAGAGAGGTGAAAGTCTCAAAGTGAGAGCACAAATACTCCCGAAACTTCATGACACAAAAACAACTAGCAAAAACTGTTTCCATCAAAACAACTCGCGTATGTCTACCTGGGACACACGTGAACAGACGAGACAGCGCAGCTAGCTGCCACAAAAGTGCAGATCAAAAAGCTTTGCTTACTACTTCATTCTTCCAACAAGTACGCCAAAACACTTCCAGCCTTTTTTTTTTTTTGTCTTTACTGCCTTTAATCCACCGCTGCGTTAGTTGCGTGCCCTCGGAGCTCATTCACGGCATTGTGCGCGGCGGTTGCGGCGAATGGTTGTTCCGTTTTCAACCCGTGTGTGCTGGCTGCGCACATGCCTTAAAAACTAAGTCTTAGTGTCATCTACGATAGCATCTGCAACGTTTTTATTCACAGAGTTTGCGGAAAGCAGCGTTGGTTTGAATGGTTAAGCAATGTACGTACGCACACTTTCAGAGTTCTGTCACTTATGTTGTCACCATACATGGTCGTGTCAAAAACAACCGCGGTTGTGGCAACGACAACTACACGTACTGTATGTAGAAGACAGTGCGTGCTCTGATCGCACGCAAACTATTTCAGATTTTAGCACGCTGCTTTCAGCCTACGTTCGACGGTTTCTATACAAAAGTTCACCTACCTCCATAATGAAAACTGTTCAAGGCATTAGAATTTCGGTTCAATGAACACAGTGAAATTTTGCTGAGAAATTTCACGAATTCGTATCTAACGCGGTTTGCGAAAAGCCTGGAGCGGATTGATCTGCATTTTTGTCAGTGAAGTCAGATCACGCACAAAGATTTCGATTTCAGGGAGATTTTCATGACAACTGTACAAACGGAAAAGACAGTTGAAATCCGGGAGTCTCCCGAGGCAGGTATAGCGGCTCCACAGGATGAAGCGAACAGGTCTTGAGGCAAGCAATCGCACCAGCTTTTTCATGCCTCTACGCATTTCCAGTGCTCTTAGACCTCTTGTGTCCCGCCATGGCTGCTGGAAAAACAGGAACACACAGCAGTATTAACGATTATTGCACACACACCACCATAACGTGATCTAAACCAAACCAGACCTTATGAAGTTCCCGAGCTTACGAAGAAATTTACTATATTTAATAGGACATAGCGCGAGTTTTTATTCAGATTTTTGCTACCTAAAGTTGATCCTTGCATTACAATCATACACCAAAATAACTACTTTTCCTCCCTGGCCACAATGAAAAGCAACCCCTTGCGTAATGATAGAGTACATACGGTAAATTCTCCAGCAAATCCCTGCAGGTTACAGGGTTACAATCTGAACTCATTTGGCCACAAAGCTCGACCTAACTAAGTTTTTCCCTAATAACCGAGCGAAAAAGCGGCAATTTCCTTCTAATTTTTACTCAGAGAGGTTTTTTACTATTAATGCTCACGTTCAATATCTAGGCACTCCAGTTGCAACCCTAGCTTTGTTCTGCCAAGACTGCACGCGGCGCTTGCACATCCAACAATCAGTCTGTAGTGGTCTTATATATCATACAGTACAGCAAATGCAGTCATTGCCTTGGTTCATCATCATCATCATCAGCCTGACTACGTCCACTGCAGGACAAAGGCCTCTCCCTTGTTCCGCCAGTTAACCCAGTCCTGTGATTGCTGCTGCCAATTTATACCCGCAAACTTCTTAATCTCATCTGCCCACCTAACCTTCTGTCTCCCCCTAACCCGCTTCCCTTCTCTGGGAATTCAGTTAGTTACCCTTAATGACCAGCGGTTATCCTGTCTACGCACTACATGCCCGGCCCATGTCCATTTCCTCTTCTTTATTTCAACTATGATATCCTTAATCCCCGTTTGTCCCCTAATCCACTCTGCTCTCTTCTTGTCTCTTAAGGTTACACCTACCATTTTTTCTTTCCATTGCTTGCTGCGTCGTCCTCAATTTAAGCTGCACCCTCTTTGTAAGTCTCCAGGTTTCTGCTCCCTAGCTAAGTACCGGCAAGATACAGCTGTTATATACCTTCCTCTTGAGGGATAGTGGCAATCTACCTGTCATAATTTGAGAGTGCTTGCCGAATGTGCTCCACCCCGTTCTTATTCTTCTAGTTACTTCAATCTCGTGGTTCGGCTCTGCGGTTATTACCTGCCCTAAGTAGACATAGTCTTTTACAACTTCAAGTGCACTATTACCTATCTCGAAGCGCTGCTTCCTTTCTGAGGTTGTTGTACATTACTTTCGTTTTCTGCAGATTAATTTTAAGACCCACCTTTCTGCTCTCCTTGTCTAACTCAGTAATCATGAGTTGCAATTCGTCCCCCGAGTTACTCAGCAATGCAATAACATCGGCGAAGCGCAGGTTACTAAGGTATTCTCCATTAACTCTTATCCCTAACTGTTCCCATTCTAGGCTTCTGAAAACCTACTGTAAGCACGCGGTAAATAACATTAAGGAGATTGTGTCCCCCTGCCTTACACCCTTCTTGATTGGTACTCTGTTGCTTTCTTTATGAAGCACTATGGTAGCAGTTGATCCTCTGTAGATTTCTTTCAGAATGTTTATATATACTTCATCCACGCCCTGATTCCGCAGTGTCTGCATGACGGCTGATATTTCTACTGAATCAAACGCCTTCTCGTAATCTATGAAGGCTATGTATAGTGGTTGGTTATACTCTGAGCATTTCTCTATTACCTGATTGATAGTATGAATGTGGTCAATTGTTGAGTAGCCTGTTCGAAATCCTGCTTGTTCCTTTGGTTGATTGAATTCTAATGTTTTCTTTACTCTGTTAGCAATTACCTTTGAATATAGCTTGTATACTACAGAGAGCATGCTGATCGGCCTGTAATTCTTCAAGTCCTCGTCATCTCCTTTCTTATGTATTAAGATGATGTTAGCGTTCTTCCAAGACTCTGGTACTCTTCCTGCCAGGAGACACCTCGTAAACAGGGTGGCTAGTTTTTCTAACACAATCTGTCCTCCATCTTTCAGCAGATCTGATGTTACCTGATCCTCACCAGCAGCTTTGCCTCTTTGCATGCTCTCCAAAGCTTTTCTGACTTCTTCTATCATTACTGGCGGGGTGTCATCTGGGTTACTGCTAGTTCTTATAGTATTAAGGTCGTGGTTGTCTCGGCTACTGTACAGATCTCTGTAAAACTCCTCCTCTATTTTAACTATCCTATCCATATTGGTAGTTATTTTGCCTTCTTTGTCCCTTAGTGCATACATCCGACTTTTGCCTATACCAAGTTTCCTCTTCACTGCTTTGACGCTTCCTCCGTTTTTCAGAGCGTGTTCAATTCTCTCCATGTTATACCTTCTTACATCGCATACCTTACGTCTATTAATCAACTTCGAAAGCTCTGCCAGTTCTGTTTTGTCTGTTGTACTTGACACTTTCATGATTTGATGCTTCTTAATTAGTTTCTTCGTTTCCTGGGAAAGCTTGCCAGTGTCCTGTCTAACTACCCTGCCTCCAACTTCCACTGCACACTCCGTAATGATACTGGTCAGATTATCATTCATTGTATCTACGCTAAGGTTGGTTTCCTCACTAAGAGCCGAGTACCTGTTCTGAAGCGACACTCTGAATTCCTGTACTTTCCCTCTCAGCGCTAGCTCATTGATTGGCTTCTTGCGTATCAGTTTCTGTCGTTCCTTTCTCAAGTCTAGGCGAATTCGAGACCGTACCATTCTATGGTCACTGGATCGTACCTTGCCAACCACTTCCACATCCTGCACGATGCCTGGGTGTGCACTCATTATAAAGTCTATTTCGTTCTTATTTTCGCCATTAGGGCTCCTCCATGTCCACTTGCGCTTTTCTCGTTTTCGGTAGAAGGTATTCAAAATCCGTAAAGTATTGCGTTCTGCGAATTCTACTAGTAGCTCTCCTCTGGCGTTTCTAGTACCGATGCCATAATCTCCTACTGCCTGGTCTCAGCCTGCTTCTTCCCTACCTTTGCATTAAAGTCGCCCATCACTATAGTACACTATGTTTTTACCTTACTCATTGCCGATTCCACGTCTTCATAGAAGCTTTCAACTGAAGCGTCATCATGGCTGGATGTAGGCGCGTAAGCCTGTACTACCTTCATTTTGTATCTTTTATTCAGTTTAATTACAATACCTACCACTTTTTTCATTAATGCTGTAGTGTTCCTCTATGTTGCCAGCTATGTTTCTGTGAATTAGGAACCCCCCTCTCAGTTCTCTTCTGTCAGCCAAGCCCCGATAGCAAAGGACGTGCCCATTCTGTAGCACCGTATAAGCCTCATCTGTCCTCGTAACTTCACTGAGCCCTATTATATCCCATTTATTATCCTCTAGCTCCTCGAATAGTACAGCTAGACTTCCCTCACTAGATAAGGTTCTAGCGTTAAACGTTGCCAAGTTCAGGTTCCAATGGCGGCCTGTCCGGATCCAGAGATTCTTAGCACCCTCTGCTGCGTTGCAGATCTGACTGCCGCCGTGGTCAGTTGCTTCGCAGCTGCTGGGGACTGAGGGCCGTGAGTTATTTGACGTATGCATGTGGGAGGTAGTGGCCAGATACTGCACCAGGGTGGCCAATCCTTCTCTGGTGAGGGAGTGCGTTCCTGGCGGTGGTTACCGGTGAGGCCGCACCCCAGGCCTCTTAATGCAGTTCCATCAACACGCGTTTTTTTTTTTTTAATCCGGTAGGGAACTGCGCGGCACCGGAATTTGAACCACGGACCTCTTGCATGCGAGGCGGATGCTCTAACCACTACGCCATTGCATTGCCTTGGTTATTTCACGACTTACACGGCAGATAGCACTGAACATCTCTTCACGTCTTTCTCGCTCGGCTTACAAGCACAATAACTGCACTCATCCTCAACGTCATAGCATATCAGGTAGCCTGCCATAGCTTCCCGTGACTAGTTTACCTGGCCTACGTAGCCCACACGTGGCGTACTTCATGTCTGGGCTGCCTTTGGGGACCTTTTTCAGGTACACAAGCGCGGGTTGTCGGTAAAAACAATGCCATGGTAACCTTTTGGTGTCACTACATTGCGATTTAAGGTTTCAAAGGACGAAAAAATTGCTTCCTTAATTTTATGAAATTCCTGGATTTAATGGAATAATTTAAGTGTGGTCATCATTTCGTTAAATTGAGTTTTAACTGTATTTAGAGCTTTGAAATGGTTCAGCACTGACATGCTCGCTCATTCTTTTTTCGGTGATTACCGTATTTACTAGCATAATTCGAACAACCCTAATATTTTGCCAGCTTTACAAAGAATATATTTACTTGCATATTTTATGCTCCCTCGCCCAGCCAAGCTAGCTCAATGGCACATGCACAAACACTTTGCAATCATAGATGGCTATTTAGATAAGCTATTGACTCAACGGCCTTTGAAACCCATGTGGCAACTCGTGCTTCAGTCTAGTCAATAGACCATCTGTTCAATGGCCTCCGAAACACCCGTGTGACATCGGTAATAAAAAGGTGTCTGAGCAAGTGGATTTCAGGCCTGAAAAATGACTGATTCTAGTACGAGCGCTTTGGCACAAAAGGCCTCGCTTCCATTTCGCATGTGCTGATCTTGTGGTCCCTGCCCGTATGCTGAAGCTGACAGATGTGCAGCCCAACTACCAGATGTGCACGAGCAGAAATTAAACTTATCTCGAAAAAGATAAGTTTTGTAAAATTCTTCAACAATTTTTCAACTTAGGACACCTAGAGTTCTCATGTTTATCGTCTGTTACTCTTCCAAGCCCACTGACAGCGACAGGGTTGATTGATTGATATGTGGGGTTTAACGTCCCAAAACCACCATATGATTATGAGAGACGCCGTAGTGGAGGACTCCGGAAATTTTGGCCATCTGGGGTTCTTTAACGTGCACCCAAATCTGAGCACACGGGCCTACAACATTTCCGCCTCCATCGGAAATGCAGCCGTCGCAGCCGGGATTCGAACCCACGACCTGTGGGTCAGCAGCCGAGTACCATAGCCACTAGACCACCACGGCGGGGCAGCGACAGGGTTCAACAGAGTGAGATCGCTATGGCTAAAGCTTGGGGGGCGAGTTGGTTCACGTACACAGTAAAAAAAACGCAGCACAAAAATGACAGGAAAGAAAGGGAGGAGGCAGAACAGAGTGCTGACTTACAACTAATCTTTACTTTGAAATGCGAACACATTTATATCATGGCAGGCAAAACAGAAGCGACTACCACAAAATCAAAAAATGTTGCTCTGACGTCAATATCACCGTATCACCACTCTGCCTGACAACGCACTTCTTTTTCTTTTTTACTAAGAGAGAAATCACTCACGGCGGACTTCGCAGATTTTGCCTGACAGGTGCCTGTCTACGGCACCGAGCCTTCGTGCTGCAAATGGATCTTTGCCCACGTACATTTGGAAGAGAGCTCTATGCAGAAGTGAGAAAAAAAAAAGAAAGCAGCAATCAATGCAATGAAATGTTGCAACAAACATAGAACTCATGTTCTTACTACATGACTAATAGTAATCAGAAGAAACTGCCCATCTTAATGCCCACACTCCCACAAAAATTCCTTAAGAGTTGGCTAAGAGGAGGTGCTTAAAGGATGCCAAAGAAGAATGTAGTTCTGCCTCCACTTTCACTTCCCTTTATTTCATAATTACGAATCTTCAATTAAAAATACAATTTAAACACCCGTTTCTGTTTCTTACCTTTCTCTCTCTACTTGTTGCTTCTTTCTTTTCTTTATATCTTTTTTTGTGCCTATTTCTATCTATCCCTCACTCTATATACTTTTCTATCTTTCTATTATTTCTTTCTTTACATTTCTTTCTCTGTACCCATTCTCTTGTGCATCACAGTTACAGCATCTAAGAGTAAACAAATTAATGCAGGTGTTCTGCACGCGAAGCCGATGATCAAGAGAGGCCGAAAAGAGCGCATTCCAGTTGTCGATGATTATGAGTTTATGATACTTTTACATTCGTCCGCACATACTAACGCCCAGCTTAACCAGCTTCGCTGTTAAAAATGCTACTATATGCTGTTTCATAACAAAGCGACTTAAATGCATGTTGCATCATTTGCCTTTACTTATATTGTGCTGTTTCACTCACAAATTGACATCACCTGGCTTGACCACTAAGTTTCCTGTTTGAATTTCAAATGGGCTGCCCTAGCTCAATGGACCCAATTACCTTTCCATCCTCCCTGGCAGATCCTAGCCGGGAGTTTTGATGCCACTTTCGACACGGGGGTACTTTATGCACTCATGTTTTGTTTCGCAGTGATCCATGTTGCCAATATCTTCCAACTCAGACTCAACTGTAAGCACAAAGCAAGAATCAGTATTCAATCAATAATGGCACCTCAAGAATAATAAACAAGAGGCAAAGCAATGAACGGGACAGCAACAAGTTGGAATGTTACACAAAGTACAAAGGCTAATAATTTTAGGAGAAATATGAATTGTAGTAAACACAAGCCTGCTAAAGAGGCAAACTTGCTATAATATGGCCAGACCCACACGATGAGAGACACTAGATAAATACAAGCCACATGTAGAATGGCTTTGTTCGTGACAGGTGCCTCACATGCACAAAGAATTTCAATTCTTAAAGCATAAGACATCCTGTGTAGAATATGTAGCAAACTGAACAGCCGCCATGGACTTAAAAAATCACGCAAACGATTATTAACATCTGCATGAGCCCAGAACGTCTAAGATGGCGGCTTGTTTTTTTCTTCAAACAAGCTCAATGCTCCCCGGCATGCTGGCACAAAGACTGTAGTCTTCTTATAGAAGTTAGAATGCCAGAAAATTAACTTATTACCGGCCTCGCAGTTGTGTGTCTATACATTCAGGTGCCTTCTGTGTCAAATTCTGATAAAGAACTCGGTACGTGTTTCTTTACACTTTCTCCGTGCATCCTTGAGGCGACTTAATCAGCGTGCTTTTTGAAGTCATCCTCTCTTGTCGCTTGGCGTGGAGACCGATGTTTTTCTTCTCTGCCAGTTCGTGGATGTAGACAAGCAGGCCCACAGGGCTTTAGACACATGTTGTTTCCATTGTTTCAGTAGCAGCAGGCATCTCTCGCCAAAACGGCTCAGCGATGTCCTCACAGTTCCGTTTTCTGTGTTGGGAAGGCAGATCTGTAGTCCCGGCTATGGCGACCAAACTATTTCCCGAGTACCGTATTTACTCGCGTAATGAACGCACTCACATAATAAACGCACCCCCAACTTTTGTCGTCACAACTTGGATTTTTATTTTCCCCCCGTAATAAACGCACCCCCTATATTCGTCCGCAGCAGTCCTGCCAACCAATGCTTAGCACCTCCTCACCCGTTTGATCTCCACCATTCTTTTATCATCATGCTGGCCCCCCTCGCCCATTGTTGCGTGCCGTATTGTATTTCTTTCTACCTGTGAGCATCATGTCCTCCGTTTATTTTATCTCTGTGCCACAGCGGGGTTCACGAACGGTGCAAGTGTAGAGTTACGCAGATGATAAGCACACACCGATTGTGTGTTCTTGAGTAACCTTCTCAACATGAACAGGTAATGGTCCCATTCCATACTGCACCAGCGCAGCATGAATCTGCTCTTGCCTCTCCTGCTCTTCAATGTGCTCTTGGTCTCTGCATGCTGCAGTGGTGCTCTGAAGTTCAAGAAGGATTGCAGTCAAGCAGGGTTCCCTAATTCAAAAACGTACCATCAAAGGCCAATAGAAACCAAGATCAGAAGGTAACACGTTCAAACTACATCCGGGCGCTCTAATAGTCACATGAACGTCATGGGATCAAATCCCATCTGTGGTGGCCGCATTTTGATGGAGAGGAAATGATAGAGGCCCGGATGTTTATATTTAAGTGCACATCAAAGAAAGCTAAGTGGTTGAAATTCCCCAAGCCCTCCGATGAAGCGTCCATTTAAATCGCATCGTGGTTTTGAGCGTAAACCCAATTACTATTAAATCGCATTTTGGTCACCACTGTAGGAAAATGGGCCAGGTCAGATGGATCATATTAGCAGCCTTCTAGAACAGAACGCACCACATATCTTTATTTTCCTCTCCTATTCCAGCTGTTAACAGATGCTAAAGTTGGCACTCAAAGCAGGCACCAAAGCACCAGCTGAAAGCGCCAACCCTATCATTTTCGGTACTGTTGTTGTCAGTGGACACTGTAATCTCAAAGTGTTCACTAAGGTCTATAGTTTTACATGCCAAAACTTCAATTAAATCAAGAGACATACTGAAGTGGGAGACTACCAATTAATTCTGACACTATGGGTTTTTTTTTCCAGGAGCATCTAAACCAAGTAGTGCGCATAAGTTACTGCATTTTACCTCCACTGAATGAACGCAAAACTGCTCCTGGATAGCCCATATTCTGGCAGCCCCACATAGGTCAAGCATTCATCTTGAAATGTTCACAGATAATTGATGTGAGCCTCCTTCATCATGACTACAATCAATTAGTCATGGCTCTCAATAATTTAGACTACAAAAGTTTACTATTTCTCCACTCCTTAGGTGAACGATTTCAAGTCCAGCGACCCAGTTTGTCGGGACAGTTACCATTTCACAGTCATTCCTTCCTGCCTCCACTTGCCTGCGAGACCTCGCTGCCCTGAATGCGGCCATTTCCTCCAATGTTTCTGCATAGAACAGGCAAATTTACCGAAACAACACACACAAAAAACAACACAATACTGAAAATGATGGCAAAACTGACAAAGGCCAGTGGTTTTTATTGCAGGTGGAAGCGAATAGCGCGTTGTGAGCATGCTTTTTTCTATCCTCGGGAATAAATTACAGCAGAGCTTTCTAGACAAAGAGTGTAGCCTAAATATACAAGGTGTATTGTTTTAGACAACACAGATTTTTAAAATAAAAATGTTAGAAGCGTCAGGCCTCTGTCATCTTGGCAGACAAGCTTTATGCTGAGGTGGAAAAAACTTTGCCGCACCGATTGTTACATTCAAATGAGTATTCAAATTTTATTTATTTATTCAATTATTTATTTATACTGCGGACAAAAAGTCTAAGCAGGGTGAGGAAAAGAACATACCAATAACAGAAAACAAGGTTGCAAAGTGGCTTTTACAACATGATTTTGGTTGAAAGACGAAAAAAAAAAAACTTGGTCATGATACAATTATAAGGAGGTGACAAAAGAACAGCATTAGCACAAATGGTCACGGGCGTTCGGGGAATGCCTTGATTAGTTTATTCAAATCAGCTATCGTTTGTGGGCAAAAAGAGTAGCAAAATGTGTCAGTCCTTGCAAAGATTGGCGTTAGGGAATGAGGATAGTGGTACAGAGTGGGTCTGCTTAACAAGGTGAAAACGTACACTGCGGTGTCCAAGGGTAGCTTGTGGTTTACTATGTTGGAAAGAAACTCTAGACCACATTTTTTTCACCGTGTTTGTAATATTTCAATACTACTTGCAGTTATTAGTGCAGTAGGTGAGTCAGTTGACTTAAATTTACTCTAAATAAACCGTACTGCTTTCCTTTGAATTTTTTCTATGTTTTGAATGTTAATTTTTGTGTGGGAATCCCAAACTATGGAGGCACACTCAAGTTTTGGCCTAATTAAAGAAACGTAGGACAGGAGTTTAACACTAGGCGGGGAAGTCTTGACCTTGTGACGGAGAAGACATAATTTCCAGAATGCGGCAGAGCAAATGTTATTTATGTATATATTCCACGATAAGGTACTCGTTAACGTTACACCTAGGTATTTATAGCAGGCTACTTTAAGCAAAGGTGCTTCAGTTAAATTGTATGTGTGGCCTAAGGGGGTTTTTTGTGTGTTAGATGGAGATACACACACTTATTTGCATTAAGAAGCATGCCCCATTGTTTGCACCATTTTGAGACATTGCCCAAGTTAGTATTAAGGTCCCATTAGTCACTAATGCAGGTTACTTCTCTAAACAAAACACAATCGTCTGCAAATAGACGAATTTGTACAGGGGTGCTAATTACATTGACAATGTCGTTTATGTAGACCAAAAACAGGATGGATCTGAGTACGCTCCCCTGCGGAACGCGGGAAGTCACCGGAAGGCAGCCGGATTGTTGTTCTCCCACCTGGATGTATTGGTTGCAGTTGTGGAGATAAGCTGAGATCAAGGAGATGAATATTTCAGGTATACCAATTAACCGAAGCTTTATAATTAATTTGTTTTGTCGAAATGTGTCAAATGGTTTACTGTAACCCAAGAATATTACATCAGTTTGGCCGTTACCATCAAGATAAGCTGCAAATGAGTAAACCCTTATTAAACTTTTTAATTACTAGCTTGAGGGCATCTGTTTATATCGACAAGTTGTAGGACTTGCCAATTTAAACATATCCATATTGAAAAAAAAATTGCCAAAGTCACATGATTGAATATTAATCATTGAAATTTAGGGCCCTCACCCAGGCGATATCGAAAGTGAGCACTCTAGGCATGCAAGACATGAGCCACCTGGGTTACACCTGACCGGAAAGACCATGTGACAAACTTAGAAAAAAGGTGCACCAGAATTTCATCAGGAAAAACATCGATCCCATAGGTGTGCGCACAGGTGAAGAGGGGGGGGGGGGAGAGACACGAAGTGCCCACCCCTTAGTCATGAGAGGGGGCAGGGAAAGTGTGCCCCCTACATTGACATATTGACTTAATAGGGAGGGTGACACTGCGACAAACTTTACCCCCCCCCCCCCTGTCCCTTTCTGAAGGGGAACCTTGCCCCAACTCTTATGACTAAATCTTTCTAGAGACCACATTGAACCACTTATTTGCATTTATTGTGTGGTGCTTATCTGTTTTTTTTCATGCTGTACTAAAGAAAACTACAATTTCCACCTGTTCTTTTACTGAACAGAGTAAAACTGCGTGGCAGCCATTGCAGGGTTATTTCTTGTAGACAAGCAAAGGGGTTCATTATCTTTCATTATATTTAACAAAAAAAATGTAACAAAATATAGATAAGAACTACACATGAAATTATAAAAATAAGTGATCCAATGGAGTATTTCGAGACGACTTGTCATTTTATTTTTCTGACTGAATTGGTGCGGTTCACCTTTTTCGAAAGTTCGTAACATGAGCTCTTTGATCTGACGTAAGCCCGATGATGCACTTCTTGCGTGCCCAAAGCACATAGTTTCATCATCGCCTGGATTGGTACTCTTTATTTTGATGAATAATATCTTAAACAACGAGTGTTTTTTTAGATTAAAAAAAAAAGGTATGCTATAAATTCTCACGTCCTATAACTTCACAGTATAAACAACTGCCATCAAATTAATAATTATAGGTT